ACAAAAGTGTTGCTACTTTTCTCAACAACATTGATGCCCAGGCGTTATCAACATATCAGTTGCACAGCCACGGTCAGTGTGAACCGGAGTGACTTGACACAACGCTGGCCAAACAAGATGTAGCTACAAACAAAACTGAGGTAAATGGTTCTAGTCTACCGTGAAGCGTTCATCCATGTGTACGGGTAAGAGTCTAGCTACATTTTCAGAAATAAGTTTCTAATTTTGTCAGAAAGTCGTTTTTATTGTGAGTTAAAGCATACTGTTAGTTAGGTAGCAAACGTTAGCTTGCTGCCTCGCTAGCTAACGTTACTTGTATGAACTGTGTAGTAATATTACTTGAATCAGAAAAACTATTTGCATTGCTAGTTATAGCCTTATGTTATCTAGCTAAAATTGAACCTAGTTTGTTAGCTTTAGCTGTCTGCAGATTCATACTACAGCTATATGAAAATGTTTGTATTGGTAGTAGTATGAGTTGGGATTATGCTGGTTCATTGTTTAGCTAGCTGGCTACATGTCTAAACAAAAGACTCCACTACATGACCCATCAAATTAGCCAGGTTTGTCTGGGGGTGATTACGGCCCATCCACTTAGCTAGATGTGGCTGGGGTGTGGTTATACCATTTCCTTCACATGACCCATCAATTTAGACAAGTGTTCCGGGTAAGCGTCATCTAGTAATGATCAAATATTTCTAAAATATTTTTATCTGGACACTTTCTGTTTTTGATGTTGCTACTATGCAAGTAACCACTCACTGTACCGTTTACACCTTCTGTATCCTGTGCATACAAATAAACTTTATTTGATATAGCATGTGTTTACCACATGGCCTCACATGTGAATCCTTAAAGAGATGGGTGGGGATAAGGCTTAAGAGGGTGTGAACGATGCTGAATGGGTGTAGACAAAGAAGTGCTCTCCAGTAGGTGTACCAAAAAATTCAAGAGCCATTTTCTCAAAAGTGGGGCTATAAGTTGATCAACTTTCAAAGCAGAATTACTTTACCATTGTTCCTCAACAGTAGTGTATGATATATCATTTTCTAGCTCTGAGTCTCTACTTTTATCCAATGTAAAAAACACAATTTCAAATGTTGCTACATAAGACCGAATCAAGGCGGTCGGTCACATATTACCATAAGTATTTATATATTCCTGCTACCAGTCCCTTTTCAGCCCTGTTTACATGTATATCCTACTAGCAGTCACTTCCGTCTGGCCCTGCGGCCTTGTGAATGTTGACCTGGCCGTGTGGTGCCAGGACAACAACCTCTCCCTCAACGTGACCAAGACAAAGGAGATGATTGTGGACTACAGGAAAAAAAAGAGGACTGAGCACGCCCCCATTCTCATCGACGGGGCTGTAGTGGAACAGGTTGAGAGCTTCAAGTTCCTTGGTGTCCACATCACCAACGAACTATCATGGTCCAAACACACCAAGACAGTCGTGAAGAGGGCACGACAAAGCCTATTCCCCCTCAGGAGACTGAAAAGATTTGGCATGGGTCCTCAGATCCTCAAAAAATTCTACAGCTGCACCATCGAGAGCATCCTGACTGGTTGCATCACCGCCTGGTATGGCAACTGCTTGGCCTCCGACCGCAAGGCACTACAGAGGGTAGTGCGTACGGCCCAGTACATCACTGGGGCCAAGCTTCCTGCCATCCAGGACCTCTATACCAGGCGGTGTCAGAGGAAGGCCCTCAAAATTTTAAAAGACTCCAGCCACCCTAGTCATAGACTGTTCTCTCTGCTACCGCACGGCAAGCGGTACCGGAGTGCCAAGTCTAGGTCCAAAAGACTTCTCAACAGCTTCTACCCCCAAGCCATAAGACTCCTGAACAGCTAATCATGGCTACCCGGACTATTTGCACTGCCCCCCCCACCCCATCCTTTTTACGCTGCTGCTACTCTGTTAATTATTTATGCATAGTCACTTTAACTCTACCCACATGTACATATTACCTCAACTAGCCGGTGCCCCCGCACATTGACTCTGCAACGGTACCCCCCTGTATATATAGCCTCCCTACTGTTATTTTATTTTACTTCTGCTCTTTTTTTTCTCAACACTTTTTTTGTTGTTGTTTTATTTTTACTTTTTTGTTAAAAATAAATGCACTGTTGGTTAAGGGCTGTAAGTAAGCATTTCACTGTGATGTCTGCACCTGTTGTATTCGGCGCATGTGACCAATAAAACTTGATTTTATTTGATTTTATTTTTATGTATAAACCCACCTCAACCACTCCACTACCCCTGCACATTGAATAAGGTACTGGCACTGACATGTATATACACTTGCATTCTCGTGTTTCTTTAACTCTCATCGTAGTTCTTGTGTTTTTGTTTTTACTTAAAAAATGTATTCTATTTCCTATTATTAACTACTGTATATTATTATTATCACTGCATTGTTGGGAAAGAGCTCTCAAGGTAAAGAATTTCCCTATACTGTTTTACACCTGTTGTATCCTGTGCACGTGGAGAATAAACTTTGAAACTTGAAGATAACAGATCTGTAGGATGTTTTTTAAGTTTTAGTCATTACCCAACTACTACTACCAGCAAACAAATACCTTAGATGTGTGTGTGTGTGTCTGTGTGTGCACGTGCACTTGTGTGTGTGTGTGTGTGTGTGTGTGTATTAATCTCTCACCTCTACAGCAGCCTTTGCCCTTACAAACTCCTCCTCCTGGGAATGATGTCTGCCCAAGACGTGACAGAGACTGGGCCGCACTTGTCGGGGTACTGGGTCCTGTAGGACACAGACGGCCACGCACACACACATAAGGTCAGCGAAAACCCTCACCTCTAACTGTGTGAGGGGTCACACTTATAATCCCAGAAGGCAATGGAGACACCAATATATCATTTAAAATAGCTTTTTTTACACCATCACACTTTGTGATGAAACTTGACCTATATATTATTATTTTCAAGGAAGACACCATAACTTCACATTCTTTTCTATAAGTATACATGTAAATGGAGGTTGTATAGACCTTTAGTGCTGACATGTGGTCCTCCTCATCAATGCTATTGACTTCAAAGGAGTTTTTCACAGATGGATTTGTTTTAAACTCTGCTGACCTGGGGAGAAAGAAGGGTAAACATTTCTGGTATACAATTGAAGTCGGAAGTTTACATACACTTAGGTTGGAGTCATTAAAACTCGTTTTTCAACCACGCCACAAATTTCTTGTTAACAAACTATAGTTTTGGCAAGTCGGTTAGGACATCTACTTTGTGCATGACACAAGTAATTTTTCCAACAATTGTTTACAGACAGATTATTTCACTTATAATTCACTGTATCACAATTCCAGTGGGTCAGAAGTTTACATACACTAAATTGACTGTGCCTTTAAACAGCTTGGAAAATTCCAGATAACGATGTCATGGCTTTAGAAGCTTCTGATAGGCTAATTGACATAATTTGAGTCAATTGGAGGTGTACCTGTGGATGTATTTCAAGGCCTACCTTCAAACTCAGTGCCTTTTGCTTGACATCATGGGAAAATCAAAAGAAATTAGCCAAGACCACAGAAAAAAAATGGTAGACCTCCACAAGTCAGGTTCATCCTAGGGAGCAATTTCCAAACGCCTGAAGGTACCACGTTCATCTGTACAAACAATAGCACGCAAGTATAAACATCATGGGACCACGCAGCCGTCATACCTCTCAGGAAGGAGACGCGTTCTGTCTCCTGGAGATGAAAGTACTAAATCAATCCCAGAACAACAGCAAAGGGCCTTGTGAAGATAATGGAGGAAACAGGTACAAAAGTATCTATATCCACAGTAAAACGAGTCCTATATCGACATAACCTGAAAGGCCGCTCAGCAAGGAAGAAGCCACTGCTCCAAAACCGCCATAAAAAAGCCAGACTACGGTTTCCAACTGCACATGGGGACAACGATCGTACTTTTTGGAGAAATGTCCTCTGGTCTGATGAAACAAAAATATAACTGTTTGGCCATAATGACCATCGTTATGTTTGGAGGAAAAAGGGGGGACGCTTGCAAGCCGAAGAACACCATCCCAACCATGAAGCACGGGGGTGGCAGCACCATGCTGTGGGGGTGCTTTGCTGCAGGAGGGACTGGTGCACTTCACAAAATAGATGGCATCATGAGGAAGGAAAATGATGTGGATATATTGAAGCAACATCTCAAGACATCAGTCAGGAAGTTAAAGCTTGGTCGCAAATGGGTCTTCCAAATGGACAATGACCCCAAGCATACTTCCAAAGTTGTGGCAAAATGGCTTAAGGACAACAAAGTCAAGGTATTGGTGTGGCCATCACAAAGCCCTGACCTCAATCCTATAGAAAATGTGTGGGCAGAACTGAAAAAGCGTGTGCGAGCAAGAGGCCTACAAACCTGACTCAGTTACACCATCTCTGTCAGGAGGAATGGGCCAAAATTCACTCAACGTATTGTGGGAAGCTTGTGGAAGGCTACCCGAAACGTTTGATCCAAGTTAAACAATTTAAAGGCAACGCTACCAAATACTAATTTAGTGTAAACTTCTGACCCACTGGGAATGTGATGAAAGAAATAAAAGCTGAAATAAATCATTCTCTCTACCATTATTATGACATTTCACATTCTTAAAATAAAGTGGTGATCCTAACCGACCTAAGACAGGGAATTTTTACTAGGATTAAATGTCAGGAATTGTGAAAAACTGAGTTTAAACGTATTTGGCTAAGGTGTATGTAAACTTCCGACTTCAACTGTAGATAGGACAAGATATACTACAGTGTAAGGTATACTACTAGACCACTACAATATACTGTAATACTACAGTTGTACAACACATTTCTAACTTTAGTAGCAATATTTCATTTTTTATGTTTTGTTTTCTGTAACTTATAGCACATAACTGATTGAACTCTATTTCTAACGTGTTAAGGCTTGAGGTTTAAAGTGGACAAAGTGGACAGTGTAGCCATTTGCAGGCTTATACAGATTTCAGAGACTGCCTTCTTTACCATAGTAATTCACTGGAGGAGTGGTGTGAGGTGCACTTCTTCTCGTATCTTCTCTTCCTGCTGTCATTCAGGGAGCCTTCGGGGTGAAGATTCACTTCCTCCCATTTCTCCAAAGGAGAGGAGGACCTGACTGAGCAGAAGGAATAAAGGGTGTAGAACTGTTAGCATAATGCTATCCACAAGATATGGACAGAAACATAGAACTGTTAGCATAATGCTATCCAACAACATCAAATCAATCAAATTGTATTTGCCACATGCGCCGAATACAACAGGTGTACACCTTACAGTGAAATGCTTACTTACAAGCCCTTAACCAACAATGCAGTTTTAAGAAAAATAAGTGTTAAGTAAAAAATAGACAGTAGGGAGGCTATATACAGGGGGTACTGGTACAGAGTCAATGTACAGGGGCACAGGTTAGTCGAGGTAATTGAGGTAATACGTACACGTGGGTAGAATTAAAGTGACTATGCATAGATAATAAACAGAGAGTAGCAGCAGCGTAAAAGAGGGGTGGGGTGGGGGGGTGGGGAGACAATGCAAATAGTCCAGGTAGCCATGATTAGCATTTCAGGAGTCTTATGGCTTGGGGGTAGAAGATGTTAAGAAGACTTAGCGCTCCGGTAACATGGACAAGAACATAGAACTTTTGGCATAATGCTATCTAATATAGACAAGCATAACTGTTAGCGTAATTCCATCCACAAAGTACTGTTAGCATAATGCTATCCAACAACACAGGAACATAACAGTGATGCAAATTTTCACACAAACCATACTTGAGCAAACTCCAAGTAAATCACATACACTACGGTTCCAAATTTTGGGGTCACTTAGAAATGTCCTTGTTTTCGAAAGAAAAGCAATTTTTTTGTCCATTAAAATAACATCAAATTGATCAGAAATACAGTGTAGACATCGTTAATGTTGTAAATGGCTATTGTATCTGGAAACGAATTATTTTTATGGAATATCTACATAGGCGTACATAGGGCCTCAGGCTTTCCCACCCTAACCCGATATGGACCTGGGGCTTTCCCACCCGGACCCGAGGACAACTAGACCCATTCCGTATAGACCTGGTTGGATCCAGACCTGGTCCGATCTGATCCGAGTGAGGGAAGCAGCAGAAAAGTCATTTTTTAAACTACTTTATTAACCGGCGCTGATAAAGCACGAGAGGACTGTGAGCGAGTGGCATGGGGAGTAGGAAGGAGGGAGGAAGAGACAAGTGACCTGATCCTACATGTTCATGCTGTACAACATTCACAGAGTACGACCCTACCTTACACAGGTGTTAATCCAGGCACTTGTCATCTCCCGTCTGGATTACTGCAACTCGCTGTTGGCTGGGCTCCCTGCCTGTGCCATTAAACCCCTACAACTTATCCAGAACGCTGCAGCCCGTCTGGTGTTCAACCTTCCCAAGTTCTCTCATGTCACCCCGCTCCTCCACACACTCCACTGGCTTCTAGTTAGGCTCACATCTACTACAAGACCATGGTGCTTGCCTACGCAGCTGTGAGGGGAACGGCACCTCCTTCCCTTCAGGCTCTGATCAGACCCTACACCCAAACGAGGGCACTACGTTCATCCACCTCTGGCCTGCTAGCCCCCCTACCTCTACGGAAGCACAGTTCCCGCTCAGCCCAGTCAAAGCTATTCGCTGCTCTGGCACCCCAATGGTGGAACAAGCTCCCCCAAGACGCCAGGACAGCGGAGTCACTGACCACCTTCCGGAGACACTTGAAACCCTACCTCTTTAAGGAATACCTGGAATAGTATAAAAGTAATCCTTCTCTGGTATTCAGGTACAGGTGGAACCGTGAAGACCTCTAGTTTGAACATCTTCAAGAACGATCTGACCTTAATGGCCATGCACTCTTATAATCTCCACCCGGTACAGCCAGAAGAGAACTGGCCACCCCTCAGAGGTTTCTTCCTAGGTTCCTGCCTTTTTGGGAGTTTTTCCTAGCCACTGTGCTTCTACATCTGCATTGCTTGCTCTCTGGGGTTTTAGGCTCGGTTTCTGTATAAGCACTTTGTGACAACTGTTGATGTAAAAAGGCCATTATAAATACATTTGATTGATTGATTGACAGGCAAAATCCTAGAGAGCGGGGGCTGAGTTCAGTCTGCTTTTCAACAGACACATTCACCTTTCAGCAGGACAATAACGTTAAACACAAGGCCAAATATACACTGGAGTTGCTTATCAAGACGACATTGAATGTTCCTGAGTGGCCTAGTTACAGTTTTGAATTAAATCGGCTTGAAAATCTATGGCAAGACTTGAAAATGGCTGTCTAGCAATGATCAACAACCAACTTGACAAAGCTTGAATAATTTGTTAAAGAATAATGTGCAAATATTGTACAATTCTGGTGTTTTTTTAGTTTTTTTTTTATCTTAGGGGGCAAGAGATTAGAGACTTATCCAGAAAGACTCACAGCTGTAATTGCTGCCATAGCTGATTCTAACATGTATTGATTCAGGGGGTTGAATACTTATCTAGTCAAGATATATTAGTGTGTTATTTTTTATAATTGTTTTACAAATGCTAGAATGTTTCTTCCACTTTGACATTACAGAGTATTTTGTGTAGATCATTGACAAAACATGACAATTATATCCATTATAATCCCACTTTGTAACACAACAAAATTTGGAAAAAGTCAAGGGGTGTGAATACTTTCTGAAGGCACTGTAAGTGCCCTCCCAATATGAATGACTAATGATATTGCTGTAGGTACACAGTATGAAGACAGCTGCATGTTGTAACACTAAAACACACAAACCCCCCCCATGCACAAACATCCACCCACCCCCCTCAATCCCAACACACACACCGTGCAGTCAGTACCTGAGTCTAGGGAGACCCTCTCGGGGGCTCGTGGGGTGTGGGGGCTCGATGAGCGCTCCACCTCCACCTGGATGAGCTCTGTCTCCTCGGGTCTCTTCCCTCTCCGGGGGCTGTTTTTAGAATTCCCCAAGGGGCTCGGACGCTCCCTGACGCTGCCCTTCCTGCTACTGCTCCCGCGTTCACTGGGCTCACTCAGGTCCACCAGGTCGAGGGCTGAGGATAGAACTGAGGAGACACACAAACAGAAGGTCATGTCTGTGTACAGTCATATACATGTAGTTGTGTTCCTGTTGTATTAACAATGTTGGTAACACTTTCTAGGAGCACATGTAATGCATTCAAAGAGACAGACAACCATTCTAATTCTATCCCCCCCCCCCCCCCTCCCCTCCCCCCTGACCCTATAACCCTTCCGTGTTTGCAGATCTGAGCGGTCTGGATAAGTATAAGCAGACCGTGCAGTGGTAGGAATTCTACCATATTGTTTCCTCCTTACAGATCTGCAAACATCTAAGGGCTAGGGCTTAGGGTCAGTGTTAACCAAACCTATCACTTGAGTATCCTCCTCCACTTAGTTGATCTAATAGGTAACACTTTATTTGGATATTCCATCTATAGATGCTCATCAAACCATCTGTAGACTATCAGCCACATTTCAACAGCATATCTGTAGCCTGTCAGTAATATTTCAACAGTATATCCCCTCACTTGCACAAATGCCAAGCCCATTTATAGATGATCAACAAACAATCAGGAGACTATCAGCAGCATCTCAATTGCATATCAGTTACAACTTAAAGGGATAGTTCACCCAAATTACATATTGGTTTCCTTACCCTGTAAGCAGTGTATGGACAAGGTATGACAGCAACACATGCTTTGGTTTAGTTTCCTTGGCGGCACTGTTTATTTACAATTTATTTGGATGGTCCCAAAGCATATCTACAGATAGTTACTAGAATGACAACGATTATGCTGTTAAAGGGATAGTTCACCCAAATTACAAAATTACATTGGCTTCCTTACCCTGTAAGCCAGTGGTATTCAAACTTTTTCAGCAGAATTTCTGGGAACCCATTCTTTTCATCCAAAATTCTGGCGACCCCACCCACACCCCACCCCACCCCAAATCTAATGACACAACCCTAAAATTGGTAAATTCTGATTTTCACATCAACTAATAACCTTCAATTTATAGCATTTTCATCTCTCTAGGAGAACCAATATATACATTTACTCAATAAAAGGTTATTTTTCTAACTCTTTTTTTCAATAATGTTTGTGCACTGAGTGTATAAAACATTAAGAAAACCTTCCTAATATTGAGTTGCACTCCCCCCCTTCTTTTGCCCTCAGATCAGCCTCAATTCGTCGGGGCATGGACTCTACAAGGTGTCGAAAGCGTTCCACAGGGATGCTGGCCCATGTTGACTCCAATGCTTCCCACAGTTGTGTCAAATTGTTTAATTAAGGAAATAAATCAACAAATAATCACTAAGCTTAAACGTATCTTTCCTGTTGGTGAAACGCATCAGAAGCATAATGTTAAACTTAATGTTTTAACAACATTGTCTGTCAACATTTTTGGCCTAATCGCTAAAGGCTGCCAATGTAAGTTGGGCCGTTGCCCGAGGAGAGAGTGAGTGAAAAAGAGAGACATTGCAGCACCAGGGTTCAATTCAATTTTTGGGAAAAAATCAATGTACGTTTTTCTTTCTTTGTACCGGTACTGTCGAATGTAACAATGTACCGTTGTCCTGCAACAAGGAAAACATGTTTGTCCTCTTATCTTAGTTGGAAGTTTAGTAGCTCGCTACCATTCTCTTCATCTCTGTGACCTTTACATGAATATCACCCACCATGCATAATGTTGCCAGCGGTGCGTTCAGTTCGACAGAATAGTGTGCAATGTTTAATTCAAAGGAAACTGTACTGAATGACCAGTTGAAGAACGCTGTGTTTATGGTGACCCATAGAGAGATTGTGTATGTGTATGGTGTGTGCTGCACATGGGTGATGCACAAGTTTTGAGTTTCAAAAGGTCAAAACCATCACAGCCTGTTTTTCACATTCCTTATGTCCTTGTCTACCAAGGACTCCATGTTTGTGTCTCCTGCCCAACGTATATCCACTCTATGAAGCAGAGCTTCCTCTTTAGGGACTTATCTGACCGGTTTCCATGCAGATGCCACACTTCCTTCTTGTAAGTCTGCCACGCACTCTCATTATTCTGAGTGTGCAGACCTGTAGTCCTCATGTCAAAGACCTGCATATGCTCTCCACTCGTCACTGACTACCATACTCTGATGCTTCACGTGCTTCTTGATGACAGGAACCAGGGTCTCGTTGTTCCTCCTCTTCACAAACCGAAGAATGGGACGTCTGGATCTCCAACATTCCAAACACCCATGTCTTTCTCCTCCATGTATTTCCAAAGCGTCCTCTGGCGTACTGGAATTAAATAGTATCAAAGTATCATTAGTGAACAAGGAATCAACCTACCCATTAAAGAGGCAATCTGCAGTTCAAAAAATTAAGTGATACCCCGCCACAGTTTTGGTAAACAGCTGAGTGATGGAGCTGGAGAAATGTAACCTCTCAAATTCCTAAACAGAGCTAAGGATGCAATGACTGACCATCCATGATATCAACATTATAGTTTTAACTATACTGAACAAAAATATAAACGCAACAAACTTCAACGATTTACTGACTTACAGTTCATATAAGGAAATCATTAGACCCTAATCTATAGATTTCACATGACTGGGCAGGGGTGCAGCCATGGGTGGGCAAGGGAGGGCATAGGCTCACACACTTGAGAGCCAGGCCCACCCACTGGGGAGCCAAGCCCAGCCAATCAGACTGAGTTTTTCCCCACTAAAAGGCTTTATTACAGACAGAAATACTCCTCAGTTTCATCAGCTGTCCGGGTGGCTGGTCTCAGACGATCCCGCAGGTGATTAAGCCAGATGTGGAGGTCCTGGGCTGGCGTGGTTACACGTGGTCTGCAGTTGGGAGGCCAGTTAGACGTACTGCCAAATTCTCTAAAACGACGTTGGTAGAGAAATAAACATCTGTGGCATTGTGTTGTGTGACAAAACTGCACATTTTAGAGTGGCCTTTTATTGTCCCCAGCACAATGTGCACCTGTGTAATGATCATGCTGTTTAATCAGCTTCTTGATATGCCACACCTGTCAGGTGGATGGATTATCTTGGCAAAGGAGGAACGCTCACTAACAAGGATGTAAACAAATTTGTGCACAACATTTGAGAGAAATAAGCTTTTTGTGCATATGTAAAATTTCTGGTATCTTTTATTTCAGCTCATGAAACATGGGACCAACACTTTACATGTTTATATTTTTGTTCAGTATATGTTTTGAGGCTATACAGTGTTGTTTACAATTACATTATTTACAAACAATAGAGTAAAACAAGATTATATTTTGGGTTCTGATGGGGTTGAACTAAGCTCATGAGGCAAGTTTTATTCTTCAGGAATCAATGGCTATAAATTATTAAAAGTCCAAATTGGTGATGCCTTTAAATCTAAGCTCTAAACGACTGTTTTCAAATGATAAAGGTAGTTATCACTGGAGTTTTTATTTATTTAAGGACTTACCGTGAGCTCCAAAAGTATTGGGACAATGAAAAATTCTACATTCATGTGGATGCTACCATGATTACGAATAATCCTGAATGAATCGTGAATAATGATGAGTGAAAAAGTTAGGGGCATATATATCATAGCCCGCCCCCAAAAATGCTGACCTCCAGTTATTGTAATATGAGAGGTTAGCATGTCTTTCTTGGGGGTATGATATTTGTGCGTTTGTAACTTTCTCTCTCATCATTATTCACCATTCATTCAGGACTATCCACATTAATGTAGAAGTGTTTAGAAAACATATTCTATTCTAATTTACAATAAAAGTGACTCCAAAATGACACAATATATTATTTACTATTCATATTTTTGTACTTTTTACCCCTTTTTCTCCCCAATTTCGTGATATCCAATTGATAGTTACAGTCTTGTCCCATCGCTGCAACTCCCGTACGGACTCAGGAGAGGCGAAGGTCGAGAGCCATGCGTCCTCCGAAACACGGCCCTGCCAAGCCACACTGCTTCTTGACACACTGCTCGCTTAACCCGGAAGCCAGCCGCACCAATGTGTCAGAGGAAACACCGTACAACTGGCGACCGAAGCCAGCGTGCATGCGCCCGGCCCGCCACAGGAGTCGCTAGAGCGTGATGGGACAAGGACATCACCGGCCGGTCACACCCTCCCCTAACCCGGACGATGCTGGGCCAATTGTGCGCCGCCTCATGGGTCTCCTGGTCGCGGCCAGCTGCGACACAGCCTGGGATCGAACCCAGGTCTGTAGTGATACCTCTAGCACTGCGATGCAGTGCCTTAGACCGCTTCTATAAACGTAATCATTGCGTGCTATGAATATGGGACCAATTACTAAACTTTTGACTACTTTATTGCACATGGGTTGACTATGTCCAAAAAGTGATGTAATTTCTAAACGGTTCACCCGATATGGCTGACAATACACTAAAATTAAAGCTGATAGTCTGCATCTTAACCTTATAGTCATTTATTAATTTCAAATCCAAAGTGCTGGAGTACAGAGACAAAACAACAAAGAATTTGCTCACTGTATATGTCAGGATGAAACATACAGTACCTTTATTTTGTGGCAGAACTGTGGGTGAGGACATTAACTCTGCCTTTTCTCTTCCGATGCCTTTTCATTCTTTTGAGACAGATACTCCGAAGTTTCTTTGCCATCCTGGAGAGCGTGGTGCTGTTCTTAGAAATCCCATCTTGCAGCATATCCACTTGCCGCATGCCCAAACCTTGTGAGCATCTCTACAGAAATTCAATTGAGTGTTGTGAAGATTATTGATCAGTTAATCTAACAGATCAATCAGGTAGGGCCATGTTCAGACTTGGGAAGGTCCACTAAAAGTCAATTCCTTGCATAAATGACTGCCAAACTATACTGTGAGGGGTCAGAGACATCTCAGACATGCATGCATTTTCAATAGTTTTAAAACCTATACACTGGGCAAAAAGAGTCAATATCAGGGGATATGTTTATGTATATATTTCCGGTTATCTGTCATTGTATTAGATATAAGGAATAGACATGCTCCAGATATGCATGTCCTTAATTTAATATAAGGAGCTAGGATATTCTCCGTAATGGGACAGTTTCTACATGACATCCAATC